TTTTTTTTTTTGCAAATCATTGCCTGTGCACCTCCTCTGCAAGATCCCTCGTTACGCCCCTGCACTGGGTAAACCAATCTAGGTCGATCATTCATCATTCTTTTTKGTTTCACCTATAGGATCAGTAGTTGTGATTGAAGATGATGTCGCTTTTGAAGATCTGGCGAACTACATGGTAAACTTGCCTGGACGAGAGGTAAGCACCACATAAAACAACCAGAGTCAAAAACAATACCCAGTGATTTAGAGAATATAGACACTATTAACTTGGGGTTATTTTTTCTGCATTTCAGACTCTGTTACTCTCTTGAAAATAAGATTCTTTGTTTAAATTGTTTCAATATGGACCAGTTGCAGCATGTCGGAATGCACCGTTCTCATAATGGCTGAAAAGGGCACGAAAACAAGGTCACCCAGTCATTAGTTTACAATACAAGATACAAAAGTACATCAAATGCGTTTATAAGAGGAAAGTATAGAAATTTACCTCTTGTTTTGACCTGATTTGCGCTATCCAATTCATTCTGAATGAGCAGCCTTGCTCAGCCTTTTCAAGATGACTGGGTGACCTCGTTTTTGTGCAGTCGTCAGCCATTATGAGAATGGTRTATGCAGCTCAATTTGGAGGACATAACAATAGGATTCCAATTCTCATGAGATTGAAATTCATTTGTTTTTTCCACCAAATTGAGCTGCTTTGACGTCACATGTAAGGGTACTTTTTATTATTCTTCTTATCCACGAGACCATTAAATTAAAAAATGATACTCTATGGAATGACACGTGGTCTTAAATGGGAAAACATTAAGCCTATTTAAATTAAATTGCTCTATTTTTATCTAATTAGATTTTTCAATATCAAATTAATCCAAGATTGTTTTGTTTTCATTTTAACTTTTCAGGAATCTGACGATGGATTTTATGTGATGAACCTAGACGACATTATTGAGAAATATCAAAAGGTAATACATATCCTACGCCAATTATGACATTACGACCCGGGGGGGGGGGGTACTCTTTCCCGTTTAGGGTAGGGATGTGCCGCTGAGCCCTCTGAACCCTGACCCTGTTCCAGAGTAAAAATCGCTGAAATTCATACCCTGTTCCAGAGCAAGATCGCTGAAAACCATACCCAGTTCCTGTATTGTGAAAATAGATGCCCTGTTCCAGAGAGGAGAGAGCGTGATTTCATATACCCTGTTCCAGAGTAGAATCGCTGAAAACCATACTCTGTTTGGCGGCACATACCTGTATAGCGAATATAGGGGAGTATCCCCCGGGCATTACGACAGACCATTTTCAAATTTTTACAATACCGATTACAGACTCATTTGCTCAGGCTTAGACTCGTATCAGTGTCTAAATGTTCACAAATACCAAAAATAAAGTAATGAATGTACAACTTTAACAATACAAACATTTTGAGAAGTCCACGGACCTTTACTGGAACACGTGATTATTCTACATAGGATTGAGGCTAACCCTGTGCAATAAAGAAATTGAAAATCGCTCAGCTGGATACTCGTATGGTAGCTCTAATTCGATCCGAGGTTTATGAATGATATATTATTACTAAGTATCTGAAGCTGTTCAATGTTAAAACGAAGCATGGAGGAAAGGGCAGTTAAAGTGCATACCTAGGGTGGTTTTTGATTCAATTTCAAAAACTCGCAACGCTGAATGGCGAATTTTATGCCAGTTGATTTATATAACAGCTTTAACAACGATTTTTTTTTGCGCAACGCATATTCAAAATGCAGTGCAATACTCTCATAGAAGCGAGGCGATGTCAAATCGCTAAAAATCGTCGCGTGTAATTTAACAAATGAAAGTCAGTTTTCTATGGGTTTGTACTGTAATCGAACATGGAATGACGTCAAAAATGATCCAAACTCAAGTGGAACCACGAGCGCAACGAGTGGTTTCACTGCAAAGTTTGGATCATTTTTGACGTCATTTCATATTCGATTACAGTACAGACCCATAGAAAACTGACTTTTATTTGTTTTTTACCATAACAAAGTCAAAAAAAATGAACAAAAAGACAAGCAAATAGTTTGAAAAAGCCGTTACATCCGCTCGCTCAGTGCGCGAGTGACAGATGTCGTAAGCACAAGTAGGTCTAGCCTCTAATCGACAATGGTTCTAAGCCAATTAGCGCGCGAGAAATTTCCAAGTTATGGTAAAAATGTTGATTTTCGAACGAACGTTGCGCGAAAAGTTGACTCGTTTAACATGTATTAAAAATTGATGAGTCGTATCGCGAAAAATCGTCGTTGCGAATCGTCCCGTGTAACATCAGCTTTAAGCCGGTTTAGACGCTACGATTTTCGCCTACAACTATTGTATACAACACGCTCGCGTCTGTCGTAGGCTAGTTGTAGGCGAAAATCGTGCCGTGTAATATCAGCTTTACGTATATCTTTGCAAAAACTTTGACATCACTTACATTACAAGGAACTCACAGTACTTCTTTTCCTTGTTTAAGTGGGTTGGCCTTCTTCCAAGGATTCGCCCATTTTACGGTAAGAGTAGAAGTATTCTTCATTCATTCCTAAGAGAATAAACAATATGCAAGTTGGATTTATGATGTCCTATCGAAGTTCAATTTACAACTTCAATTTATTGCTGATTTTTTTTAAAAAATGAGCCAATGATGAAACTAGAGAAAAACGTTTGCGCATGCGTGCACTTCAGCACGTTTTCTAAGAATTTTGAAGAGTTTGAGTGAGAAAATAAATGTTTGTTTCCTCCAAGTATACAAAAAAGTTCGAGAGTATACTTTTGTGAGACCAAGATACTGTATTAACAAACACAATATGAAAGAATTAGCCTTAAGTTTCGAGCACGGACACTAAGTTTTGCCATTTTGTAAAGTCCAATTTATCAGGCATGTTTGAAAGTCAAATTTACTTATGTTTTGACTAATTTGCATACGGATTCAGAGCATGCGCAGACGTTTTTCATTCGGGTCGCCAATGATATCTTCAGATTGCCTATTGGTGAAAATGAGAATTAAAGGACAAAAGACGTGGCCGCCATGTTGGTTGAAATGACAAAAGACACACAAGACTAACTTTCTTGTCAAAGTGAGCCAAAATGGCGGCTATGACGTCACGTGCACTATAAATTTTCTCTGCCATATTGAATAAATTTTGATAATTAACACGGAAACAAGTAACTAAACTAACTGAGCAGGAAAGTTGAAAAGGAAAACAAAAATAACTTAACGACATCCGCCGAGACAATAGAAGACCACTGCGATGTGTTACAATCGACAGAACAAGAAACTCACCGTTCGTCTCGTTTCAATGTTAATTAACATAATTTATTCAAAATGGCTGAGGAACCGTGAAGGAGACTGCTCTAGATACACATATTGAAACATCTAGAATCAGACGTTAGTCATAATGATTATTTTTGCAATATTCTAGCCGTTAAAGCAAATCCTGATCCAGTTATTGTACGTCTTTATGCCAAGATGGGCACAGGATTTGACTGTGCGAGTAAGGTTTGTAAAAAACACATAATTTTGGAGCTGGTTTCCGATAAAAAACTGAAGACAAATGGTACAGCCGCCATGTTGATTGATGTAACGAAAGAAACCAAGGCAAATCTTTTGTTAAAATCAACCAACATGGCGGCTATGACGTCACATACGAAAAGACAAAAGACATGGCCACCATGTTGATTGATGTAACAAAAGAAACCATAGCAAGTATTTTCTTAAAGTCGCCTAACATCGCAGCTATCGCATCACATGCACAACAGACAAAGAATAGAATAATTCCTAGCAAAATCAGCGCACCGCATGAGGATCAAGGATTTCCTATTCTTAGTGATTGTAATTGCTCTCGGAGTTAAAAGCAACGTCGGTTCGTTCGTTGTTTAAACTGTGAGCTCACTCAAACACAAAAAGAAAAATTGGCCCAAATGTAAGCTCAACGTTATATACGTTTTCATCTCCTACGCATTGGTGCTTCTCCTGCGAAAGAGAGAAATGATCCAAATCTCTAACGAAAAATTTGTCAGTCACATATTTGCTTTTTCATCCATCTTTCTTCCTTCCTGTCATTAATCCTTTCTTCATTTCTCTTTCTMTCTCTTTCTTTGCTTCTTATTTTAGGGAGAGATAAGATTAGCCCTAGATAACGGCAGCAACCCACAGGATATCGTATACGCTCACACATGCAAAAAACTCTCTTATATCAAGTAAGTACCACGAACGCGTGTTTCATCTGAGTCAACGTTGCTGCTGGTCAGCAGAAAAACACTGTGAGGGTTTTAAAAATTATAGTTCTGACTCAGAAAATAGCGAACCAATCATCGYTGCAGCAGTTTTCTCAGTGGAATTAAAATCTTGCCCCACAAACAGCGACACAGTATTTGTTTTAAAGAGTACTACAAGGATTACGAGGCAATGTTCTATTCTTTTMGCATGACAGTAAACCATTGAAACAATTTATAATACATTTTCCGCGATCAAAGTTTCATATTCTGAGATGTTCTAGATAATTTGTTAAGCTTGTGGGACATAGCAACGGTAACTAAGAGGTGTCGGAACTATGAATAATGCTAGCCTTTGTGCAGCCCGACTTTAACTCTGGTTCACCGCAGTTACGTTCGTTTGTACGCAGGCTGTATAATACCCGTCATAGAATAAGTTTAGTGATGCATTTATTTCTTGTATTGTGGTTAAGGTTTGCAAAAGAATCTGGAGTGTCGATGATGACGTTTGACTGCGAATCAGAGCTGCACAAGATAAAGGAATTATTTCCARAGTCTGAGTGAGTTGTAACATACATCTATTGCATCTGTCACATCCAATCTCATTCCATCTCATCCAATCCACCCACTCTCCATCCATCTACCCATCCATCCACCCTCCCATCCTTCCACCCATCCACGCTATTGCATTCATCTCGTCCATTCATCCATCCATCCATCCATCCATCCATCCATCCATCCATCCATCCACCCATCCACGCTATTGCATTCATCTCGTCCATCCATTTTATCACATCCCATCCATTCATTCATGCACCTCTATCCTTCCATGGGAAGCACTGATGGCGTTTAAGAGATCCCTTTTTCCSACCAAAGAGCAATTCTTGAACTCAGTGTTATATGTAAAATACATTTGCTTGTTGGTTCTCTCCCTGTTCCAAGAGTTTTCTGAGGGAGCTCCACTATTCCTCCCTCTRTAAAAATCAATTTCAGGGTTTCAAATCGATTGAGCGAGTGAAGAGCCACTTTGAGTATATGCCATCGACAAATACCAATATTCGATTCATTCATCCATCCTAATTATCCATCTCTCACTCCTCTTTACAACTTTTATTGGGCATCAATCAGGAAGGAAAATTACAAAACCAACATGCTACCCAAAAGGAAAGTGCGAACGGGACTCTAGGTCCCATGCTAGGCATTTCCTTTTGACTAACGATATAAATCAATAGAGAATTGTCTTGGAAAATTAATACAGTTATAGTAGTAAAAATTGATGACTAGTGAACCGAGAACGGCCAAAAAATGATCAATGGAGTTCAAACAAACAAAAGTCYCTGAGGTTCCGTTATTATCGAGTACGATGACAAGGACACTCCCGATTATATATGAAACATTCTGGTTTCTTTCATGCAGGATTTTGCTCAGATTCTCTCCAACGCTTCGCCATTCAGTCTACGATGCTGTAAGTACATAACTTTATATAAAGATGTACTGTAGTTGGTGACGGCCTTTACTTGTTCCGCACATTAACCTGTGTTACTGTTGTTGTTTTAACAAGAATGGACACAAATTTGGTGCTCCTCTTCGAGACTGCAGCACTCTTCTCGTCAGTGCCAAGAACTTAGGCTTGAATGTCGTCGGCATAAGGTAATGTGACCTCTAAAAGGGATTGACTTGGTGGCTAGCCACAAACAATGAAAACAAAACTGAATAGTGATGTTAAATCTGTCAGGGACTTCAAGTTGTTAAGACCAGGTGACATCACTTGCAGATGCTTATCGTAAAAAGAGAGCTATACTATCTCATATCTTAAACCACGTGTAGTCTATTACTTACTATCAATCAAGTGACTTTTTAGAGTTGACTGGGGGGCAAACAAGCAGTCTATTGAGGGGCAACTAGCGGATGTTAAGTCAAAACATGTCAAAATAAGTCCTCAAACTATTGTATTTGACTATTTCTACGACGCCAAACCAGAAAACAAGAGATCAAAACAACCTCCAGGATTCTTCAAGCCATTAAAAACTCAACTATTACCGGAAGTGACGTCTATTGATAGCAACCTTATTTCATTCCTCAAGCAATGGTTCCACTTTCAACTAATTTGTTTCATTGAGGGTCATAGAACTCCAGTTTGAAAATCTTTTGCTTTTAAACGTAATAGTTTAATATCTTCATCATTGATGCTACATGAAGTAAATATTTGAATGGTAAAAGAATTTCATATGATTCGAGCGATGCATCTTGAAGATATCAAGGTTTATACTTCCAATATATTAATGAGTGTGGTATCGTTATAGGCATCATTAAGTATACAAACTTTTTTGGAGCAGTAAAATATCCTGTATAAAACATCATTGTCTTGCTCAAAGTTTATAGAAAGGTTATCGCAAATTTGTTTTCACATAATAATAAGTGTTGCAATTTACAAACGACGATAATTGTGCTGATATATATATTTTTCCAATTGCAGTTTTCACATCGGCTGTGGATGCCATGATGCAACACCTTACCAAGATGCCATCAGAAATGCCAGACACGTGTTTGACATTGGGGTAAGATAGTCNGTAGTTGGTGACGGCCTTTACTTGTTCCGCACATTAACCTGTGTTATTGTTGTTGTTTTAACAAGAATGGTCACAAATTTGGTGCTCCTCTTCGAGACTGCAGCACTCTTCTCGCCAATGCTAAGAACTTAGGCTTGAATGTCGTCGGCATAAGGTAATGATGATTTATGATTTATATAGCGCCCTTTCTATGTGGATATAATCAAAGGCGCTTTACATTGAGTTGTGAATGACAGATTGCTTTTTATGCAATTTACAAGCATGAGAGATGGTGAGTATGAAGTGTAGGCACTGAGGTAGGTCACTGCCAGGGTTTCTTTACATCCTCAGTGGTTCTTTTACGTCCCTCCTATGTTGGTTAGTAATGATGAGTGTGGAGAGACGGGACCGCCATTTAAAGTGGTCATCCGAGCCACTTGAAAGTCTAACCATTTGCAGATGTAATTACAAAAGCAGCACTTTCTCCTCAGTTATTTTAAGACCCTGAGTGTTGGTCCGGCCGGGACTCGAACCACGAACTCCCACACGAAAGTCCGATGCTCAACCAACTAAGCCAACCGGTTGGCGGTTTGTGATGTGATCTCTTTTATTTTACGAGGGATTTACTTGTGGCTAGCCACAAACGATAAAAGCAAAAATGAATAGTGATGTAATATCTGTCAGGGACTTCAAGCTGTTAAGACTAGGTGACATCACTTGCAGATGCTTGTCGCAAAGAGGAAGCTATACTATCTCATGGGTGGCATGAGTGGCGTAGTGGTTTGCCGCTCGCCTCTCACCACTGTGGTCCGGCCTCGAGCCCTGGCTCAGACTGGATCATATGTGAGTTGAGTTTGTTTGATGTGATGTTCTCTCCCTTGCTACGAGGGTTTCTCCGGGATCTCCGGTTTCCTTCCTCCGTAAAAAGCAACATGTGAGTTGAGTGTTGTATGTTGTAAATATAGAATGTAGTGGTAGTGCGTGTGGAGGGAACCTCAGGGATGAGCCCCGCATGGGGAGTGGTGGTTGTAAAATATAAGTTTTTTATAAACAATGTGTGGTCTATTGCTTGCTATCAATCACTTGACGTTTTGGAGTTTTCTATTCATATCTCAAAGGATTTTGAGTCACATGGTTGCACACACTCCATAGGCACTTTAATCTGTTGTCAATCTTTCATATCATTAGTCTTTTTGGTGCAAAAATATATGCAAATATGCATTGCGCATCATTTCCAAGCAACCATCTCATGATAATTGTGCTGATATATATTTCTTTTCCAATTGTAGTTTTCACATCGGCTGTGGATGCCATGATGCAACACCTTACCAAGATGCCATCAGAAATGCCAGACACGTGTTTGACATTGGGGTAAGATAGTC